GTAGTTTCAGATTTTCCGTTTCTTCTAGTTTCATCGTGATTTCTGCTTGTTCTAATTTGTCTACTAGTTTTCGAAAATCTAAATCGGGTTCTCGAATTGAAGAAGGATGGGATGCTCTCTTTTTTATTGCTATTTTCCTTAATTGTGGTGTTAAGGTCATCATTAAGATTTCTGTCATCTTTGTGTTTTTATAGTCATGTGTATTTAATGAATATGCTTTTCGAACTAGTGTTTCGATTCGTACTGCTATTTGCTTGATGGTTTCGTTTGGTAATCTGCGAATTTCATTACATAAAACTCTTTGTTGTTGTTTGTTTCTTTCGGAGTCAAACATTTTTGAAAATTCCTGTGTAAACCTTTTCCAGTTTGATTTTATTTCTAGAGGTAGTACTGAAAACCATTTTTGGGCTGCGCCATCTAAGGTTGTTTGTATTAACGCTGTGCGTCGATGTATCCAGTTTTGATGTAGTGGCGTATTAATTGGTTCAGGTCCAATATTTAAAATCAGGTTTGCTGTTACTGCATTTAAATAATCTTCTACAGAGTATTCAGGGTCTGTTCCTGTGAAAACCATTAAAGGTTTGTTTGATGTTATTGATGATCCACCCATAAGGTATGGATTCATTGTCATTTGTAATGATTCTGCTGCATTTGGCATTTGAGAAAAATTTGAAAGTTGGTTTCTTGTTATTTCATGTTGTTGGAGATAATATGGGAGTGGTATTTCATTTTGCATTTGTGATGCTTGATACGAGTGTGCAGTCATTGGATTTTGTTGTTGAATTGGTTGAAAAGATTGTGTATTAATTAGATTTTGTTGTTGAATTGGTTGTTGATGTTGTGCATCTATTGGTTGTGGAGAAAAATTTCTATGATTTGTACGTGTTTTCTGTATTCCTTGTCTACGATATTCTTGAGTATTTGGTGCAAATATATCTGGTTGTAAGAAATCATCATCTGAGGATAAATAATCCATTTGATAAGATGTCTGTTTTTTATTTTTATTTTGTTGAAAAAATGGGTAATTTTCACTGTGATCCTGTGGAGGATTTGTTTGGAAATTTATTGAATTAGGTTGGGTCATTGGGTTATCCCAATTTCGAGATCTTGTATATTGGTTAAAATTTCTTTGTGGTTGATTATATGTTTTTGATGGATGTGTATAATTATAATTATGGTCTGTAAAGTTGTTTCTAGTGAATGTTTTGCGTGTTTTTGATGGTATTGTCATGGGTCTGTATGTTTGGTAATCCATATGTGAATATTTAGGGGCAACCGAAGGTTTAACGGTTGATTGTAAGGTTACCTGTGTTTGTGAAGGATTTGTATTTCTTGGTGTTGTTAAATTTGGGCGTATTGGTGAAATACTTTGTTGTGTAGTTGTTGTGTGTACAATTTCTTCATTTATGAAGTGTGATGGTGTCTGGATATCTTGTTGAGTAAGATTCCTAGTTCCATTGAGGTTTTCATTGTGTATAACTGTAGAGTTTAAACTATTATTTTGTGTATCGGGCAAAAATGTATTATAGTTTAATGGTGTTGCATCAATGGTTAATGGTATTACTTTTACATAATCTCTTATGTAAGATATCGTACTTATTGCTTGACTTGAGATTGATTGTGGGAAGCTTATAAATGCTGGATGAGACCATTCGGGGTCCCAAACATAATCTGATTGTTCTGTGATAGCGGTATCATCGTTCGAGTTTTGGGGTCTAAAATTTTTTCTTGCTTGTGCAATTAAATCAATATTGTGTGTGAAATAATCTATTATGAACCATGCCAAAATTTTTTGTAGATCGTGTTTTGTATGTTGTGAAACGTCGTCTTTCGTGAAATTTTCTTTAATGATGTTTAAATAACTAGAGAGTAGTGTGATTTCATGTCGTACTCTTAAATGTTTAGATGTTTCTGTCGGTGAGACATTTGTTATTGGGATTTCGTTTTCTAATATCGAAATATAACTATATATTATTGCGAAAACTTCATTGGTGAATATGGAGTTTGCTCTTTGTGAGTTATGATATTGGATGCTTTTTATATATTCTGAAAAAAACTTTTGAGAATTCTAAATCAAGATCGTCTGTTTGAATTGTATATTTTCTATTATTATGGTTTGGTGAGGTGAATTCTATGGAGTAGATTCCATACTGTTGTGTTATGTTGCATATATCTTTTAAGTAGTGGTCTATGATTTGTCTTTTGATTTTTATATCGGGGAACTCTGTTTTACATGGACTGATTCCGGGTTCAAATAAATTTACGAGTAAATTTTGACAAAATATGTGTTGTCCTCTATCAGTATCTGCATCTACTATAAAAGGAAAGATTTCATCATCATCTGGAGTTTCTTCACCTGGAGTGTGCGTTGAGCTCATTTTTTCGTTCGATGACTGTTAATATGTAATTATTAATGTGTCGAATTGGTTGATTCCAATTGTATAAATGTACTGGTTTGTGTTTGTACTGCTTTTTTATTCTTCTTTTTCCTCTTTGTGATGAATTTGAAGTTGTTTCTGAGTCAGAGAAATATAATTGATCGTGAATTGGGCAATTTTTATCTATTGATTCTTTTAGTTTGTAAAGTTCGTCTAAACTGTTGGTTTCTGATTCTGAAAATGCGTTTCGATTTTTTGAAAATCTTTTTCGTGTTATTTGTCTTTGTTTAGTTATTATTTTTCTCTTTAGTGTTTGTCGTTTTGTTCGAATGTATCCAACTGTTTGTGTATGAGGTGTGATTACAAGGTCGTATTTTTTGTTATCTATTTCACAATTGTGTAAAACGATTGTCTGTTTATTTCCTAGGTTTTTAAATGACATAAGGTTTAGAATGACGGATGCAAAGGGTTGTTAAATGGTTTCTATTTTCTTAAACTGTTAGTTCTTACGATTTTTTGGTTAGCTTAACCTGGGTCTGTTTGTTCAGGGTTGGAGAGAAAAGTATATCGATTCCGAAGAATGATTTTTTACTTTCTCGTGGCTAGTATAAGTTAAGGTGTTAACTTACTTAATCTTACTTAGGGGTAGTGATTGTGTTCAAGGGTTGGAGAATAGTAAATCGATCCACAAGGTTCAGGTATAATTAGAACGCGAGTAGTTCGTTAGATACTATTTTAAACTTACTAAGTCTAAGATTTATCCTGGGTCTGGTAAGAGGGGGGGTCAAGTGAAGGATGAATAACCGAAGTTCTTCACTGTTTATCCTAATTTGAATGATTAGTTTTGTTTAAAAATTTCTATTAGTCTTAGGTCTTTAGAAAGGGTTGGGTAGTGAATCGACGTTTGAGGTCGTTAGACACTAATTAAGTGGGTGGGGGAGAACAAAGTTGTTCTGTTTGATCCAAGGATAAGCCTTGATGATCAAATTTGAAATTTAATTAAGTAGAAAATGATTTAAGATCCAAGGATAAGCCTTGATGATCTGGTTTTAAAATTAAGTGAATTTAAGTTTTAATAAATTTTTAAATGTGTGTAAAGGAAAGATTTAGTGTTTTGATGATATTAGTGGGTTTATGATTGCTGTTATGTTTTAGATGATGGAGCTGGAACAACAGGGTGATTTATGATTACTAACCATTTATTGTCATGCTACTAATTTTTATTTTTTATTTTTCAATAAATATTTTTCAAACATGTTTTGTATATTACTGCAGAGTTTTAGGAAAACGATCTTAGATCTTTTTATCAATCGTTATTGTATATTAATAATTTTGTTTAGCGCCTGAAATGATTTTGAAGATTAACTTCAAGGTTTTATGTTTGCAAATGAAAATCTAAATTCATTGCCAGTAGTATTCTAAATATAAAAACTTGTTCTGGTTTTTGCCTAACTATCATATAGCTATATGGCAAGTTTCTACTTTGTCGTATGTCGTCTCTGGTTCGAGGTCTTCTTCCAATTCCGGGTAGTTCTGTTATGGTTCGGAATATTGGCTCTGATCTATTGAGTCGGAGAGACATTTCGATTAAATTATTGTCGTATAACATTTTGTAAATGTTTTTGTCTAATTTCTAATCTATTTTGGTTAATTCTAAGCTATTAAGGTCTTGTTCGAGACTTATGGTCGCACCAGATGAGTTAGTACCGTGTTGGTTAACTCATAGAGTAATTTCGGATAGGGTACACCGTCTGCTCGTCACGCTATCTTATTTTCGGCCGGATAGATTCGTGCAACTTCTTAGTCTAATACCGATCCTAATCTTACTCTTATACTATCTAGTCTCAGGTTGTTTAACTAGTCTCTGCTAGGCTCAATAGATCTAGGGTATACTGGTTTATTGCGGCTGCTGAAGTGCTCGGGAGAGTCCAACTAATTTCTAAGTTAAATTCAAATCTCTCTGGTGCTGAAATTACAAGTAACTTCAGCACTTACAAATAAGTGGGTTGTTAGTTAGATGGATCATGATTGGTTAATATTAAATACTTTACATTGGTAAAATATCTAAATTATCCAATCATAAAATGTAGTTTAGATCAGGTTCCAGCTCGCTTGCCGAAACTATTTAAGCCCAAAAACTTTTGAGCGAAAAAAAAACAATTAAAAAAGAAATTGCAAAAAAAAGAAATGAACCAAACTCAGAGGTCTCATTATTACTTATCGCAGGAAAGATTCCTAGCGCTTTTCATTTCTAGCAAACTTCGCAACACGATAAAGGCTTGATTTGTAAATAAGGATGAAAAAACTGCTTATAAACTGATAACGCCGAAATTGTGTTAATCGAGACATTTGAATTAACACTAACGTCTCCAAATGTAGGAACATTGTCTCGAGCGCCTCTTAAGCCGACAAAACGAGGAAACGATTACTTATTACTGCTTTTTATATTAGTAAAAATTGGTTTGCTTGGTCCATGACTTCGCGGTGACACTGAAATTTTGCTATATGAAACTCAAATGAACCAATGCAAGTTAAGGAAGCCACGAACAAGTTCTCAAACCTCAATTTGAAAATTTGATAGAGAATGTGTGACTCAATTTGACTTGCCGTTCGAATTCTCACCTTTCATGTGTCGAACTCGGAACGGATGAGGCGCATGTCTCTTTACAAACTGGCTATAGTTCAGCACTGGTGCCATTGCCCCAGATGTCACTGAGGGTTCCTTCTGGGCGTCCTTCTGGTTGTAAATCTGGTCATAGTGCGTTTGAGAGCTAAACTTGCTGCTAGTCGTCCCGCCATCTGGACCAATCAGAACCAGAGACTTGTTCGGGTACTCCACATCTCTTAAGGACGCATCCATTTTAAATGTTATCTTCTGTCGATTGTACTTTAGCTCTTTCTTGAGTTTTTCTTGTAAGTTGAATTTCAAAATACTTTAAATTTCAGATTGAAGTCTGATTTATACACAATAAGTTGATTAAAAATTCCCTGAATTACAGGACCAATTGCAAAATTTGTCTTTTAGTTTAAGCAATCAGGTAAAAAAAGCAAGGTTAGGAATTTTTTATTGGAACTATTTGAGACTTAGCTTGTTTAACAGCAGCATAATCCAATGAAGCACGTGAGTCTATTAAACTGTTCTATGTGTGCAGCTGATAAATTTTTAAATACACGATATCGTTTTAACAGATTGAAGCTTGCAACTATACATAATTTATACGTCAAAAATCGCTTCAAAGTAAAGAACTTAAGCATATTAGTTCATAAATTTATTTTTTTTTGCTACAAAACATGGGGAAGACGTTTGGACAGCAGATATGGGCAATTCCGGCCCAGAAACGCACATATCTGCTGTTCAAACGTCTGCCTCATCATTTTCGCGCGTTTATTTAAATTAGTTTTGCAAACATTTCCGCAAAAAATAACAACGAAACCCAATAGAATGAAGCAGGAGTGAATCTACGGTTTTTTGAAGACGGCGTATTTAGAAAAAGTCAAAAATTTCCGCGCTCCAATAACACTATAAAGCGCGGATTTCGTAAAAAAATGATTCGCAAACTTTTGAAAAACACGCCAAAAGGCTCGGTTTTGACCAACGATTGCGTTTCTCCGACTCGCTATCCCCCTCAACCTTACTAAATGGTCTAAGATCAGAAAAGGTCCGAGAACAGAAAAAAAATTACTTTAATATGCTAATCGGTACAAACAAGTATTAGAATATTCAATATTACCCAAAAATGAATAGTTTATGCATGCGTAAATTAATTATTTTAATCTTTTTTTTATCATTTTGAAATTCAATAAGAACGTTAACCGAAATACTCAGTTAATTGCAAAACTTTCATTTCTTTGGTAGTATTGATGTTTCTAATAATTGTTTTTATCGATTAACCCGTATATATTTGCGGATTTAGGGGGGGGGGGGGGGGGGGGGGCTTAGGCAAAAAACAGCCTTTTTGCCTGTCTTTTTCAACATTTTGGCAGCGGCGCTGAAATTCTGGTCAAAATGGGGTTCTATGGTGATTTCGGAGATAAAAGAGCTCAGAAAATCAATTTGGTCGACCCAAAAAATAGTCGACAAAATTTCGAAATTTTTTGAACTAGATTAGTACTAAAGAAATCTAGTACCCCTCGAGAAAATCGAAAATCCTAGATCCGCCCCTCTCTCAGACCATTCTGCTCATTAACTGGCCACCAGTAAAATAGTACCAAAGGAGGGCAAATTTAGTGGCGAGTAAAAAAACAGCTGTTTTACATAAAAGTTGGCTAAAAACCTAAAATTTTATTCAAAAACTTTCAGAAAAATTTCGACAATTTTTCATGTTTAATTTTCTTATTTTATTACAAGGAGCTTAAAAGGGTGATAAAGATGTTTCAAAAATTTATCGTTAGACTTCAATTGCTACAAAAAACAACAAAAACTAAATAAAAGAATTAGGAAAATAAGCCCACATAATTGAAGCCCACCGACATCAGTGCCGACAATCTACCAAAAACTACGAAAAATACAACTCCTTACGTAAATGGCACATATTTCACTAATACAGTAACCATTCTATTAAATAGCAATACAGCGGTACAATAACCATGTATGTAGCAGGTATGAAAAATACTGATTACCATTTGACCCTTCTGTTTACGGGAAAAAATCTAGTACCCGATTGCAATATCCTTGCATATCGCAAAGGTCAAAAACCTCAGACTGAATTGGACTTATAATTGAAATTGCTGGATTCAGAAGAAAAGTAATGCTTTAAAGAAATTAGATTCATTGTTTCAGAAAAAAGACAGACAACTCTCACACCTCTAGTTTTCCCAAAAACAAAATCCAGATTTTTAGAAGAGATCCGGATGGGACTCGATCCTTAGAAATATCTTCCGAAGGTGTGTGCTTACTTCTAGACCAGTTGAGAAGTGCGTGGAGGTTATTGAGGTTCCATATTAAAGCAAGGAAAAAATCATTCAGATTTGTACAAAAAGTTGTTTGCCGGAAAGAATCTAGTTTCTTATTACGTAATTACCTTAAAAAAGATCAAAAATGAAATTAGGAACAAAATCTGTTTCGGAGAAAAAAATGTAGTAAATTGTAAATTCAAGTCTCTATGTCTTTGTTATATGTTTCAGTTCAACGGCATTTATTAGTATCCAACAGTTGTCAGTTCGAATTGTTTGTCCAGTCTAATTGGATTATTTTCTACTTGTTGCAGACACGGATGGCATTGTACAAAGTATTCAAAAATGATCCAAAGACAAGAACGGACACACCGGTGAATGAGACTTTCTGAAATGTGGTTCTGTACCAAAATCTGCCGGGAGTCTGAGCATGCCATCTCTGAAGCTCCTTCAGTCTCTTGAACTGTTTGAACGCAAAAGTGTTCGGCTCTCGTGCAGCAGTTTTCGCCACGCCAGAGGCCGCCCGTTTTGCAACAACTAGTGAGCTGGCTCTAATAACATTCATGTCTTAAATAATAAAACAAATATAACTTTTCGAAATGAGGAAAAAAAGGTAAACTAGCGTGTAACGCACCTCCGGTGCTTCGAACTTTTAACTGCTCATAAAAACCACTTATATTGGAAATAAGATCTGCATCATTTGAGTGTACTCTGACAGTACCAAATTACAGGCTTCATAAGTTTAAACTTTGTAAGGTTTTTTATTCAAGTTTTTTTTAATTCAAAATTTGAAAAACCATAAAATTTTGTCGATTTTAATATATGTTCTTTGAAAAAAAAACTAAAATGAACTAAGAAACGTCATATCTCGGAAACAAAAACAATTGAACAGTGGCATTTGAACGCAAGATTAGCATTTCCTGAGATTACTTTTACAGTACCCCACTACAACGTTGGGAAATTCAAATTTGAGAAACTTCAAACGTAAGTTTTATAAAAAAAAGATATTTTTTGAAAAAAAAAAACAGATAAAACGTCACATCTCGAAAACTACCACGACTTGAGCACGTCTTCTTTGAAAGCAATATACGCAATCCTTGACCAAAAGGAATTGGTCATTCCTAATTGGACACCGAATTCGCAGCCCCTGATATTTCTCTGAGAGCCCCCAAATACAGGTTAGGAAGTCCAAATTATTGAAAAAATCACCAAAAACGTCATATCTGAAAACTATCAAGATTTGAGGACTCATTTTTGGAGGCAAAACTCACAACCCCTGAGAGCACTGTAACAGAGAATCATTATAATGATGAGATCTTCAATTTTTTTGAATTTTTTTATATCAAATTTCTCTGAAACATTTTGAAAAGTTTTGGAATTTTTCAAAATCTAAGTTTTTTTTGGAAATTTTTGAAAAAAGCATAAAAACGTCATATCTCGAAAACTACAAGTATTTGAGAAGTGAGATATGGAGGCAAGATTGGTAACCCCTGAGTAAAGTCTGACAGCACCCAATAACAGGTTTCGGAATTTCAATATTTGTAAATTGTTTTCTAAATTGAGTTTTCTGAATTTTTTTTAAAAAACACAAAAATCGTCGTATCTCGTACACTAAAAGATTTGGGCATTCACAATTAAAGGCTAATATCTCAACCTCTGTAGGAATCCTGGCGGCATCCACTATTGGGCTGCTTATTTTAAACTCGGTGAAAAAAAATCACCGAATTCAAAGAGGAAAATCGGAAAAAAATCTTAGCCATTGCAATATACGATATAACGTAAACGTGCAAAAACTCTTTTGTTAAACATGCAAAAACATTACGTTGAAAAAGCTTTAACATGGCGAGATAGTGAAGCCCGCATTTAAATATATAATAGATACCAACCAGACAAGAACCAGTCAAAATCTTCCGGCCAAATTTGTTCTGACTTTTCCGCCTGATTTCTACCTAAGAAAAACATTGGCGACTGATAAAACCGTAATCAAGTCTTTCCCATTCTTGCACAACAGCTTTTCGCGTACTTCCTATTATGTTTCAGCATCCTACTACACAGAGAGGAAGCGGAGCTTCGCACCAATTGCGATACAAACTTTTACACAATTACTAATAAATTTCAGAAAGTGATAAAAAAGGATAGACTTCTTCGATCTTAGATAATAGATCTTATGCACATTCTACAGTCATAGTAAAATACGCCAAATGGAAAAAAATTTTAGTAGAAAAATGACAAAAAAAACAAATCGTAAAAAAAACTTATGTGAAACTAAGTTTTGACCAGGGATGTCGAATACTCGGATTTTTTGATATTCGTTATTCGCCGCGGCCCAACTATTCGATATTCGACTTCGGCCGAATAGTGCCCTTACTATTCGGATTCGGCTTCGGCTTCGGCCAAATGTTACTACTCGAACAACTATTCGGATATTTGGTTATTTTCCCAAAAAACTTAGCATAAAAGTTTGATACAACAAATTCTATAAAAAGTATTGAACATAGCATTTTTCAAGTAGAATTGGGACTTGCGTAATAATGTAAAAATCGCGGGAGTGAGTAAATGTGAAACTAAGTTTTGACGGCTTAGAATACGTATAAATAAGCAATTGTTAGCCTGTACGATCACCTTTTTAGATGCTTTTTAGACGTTTTTAGCCCTTTGTGAGATCGAAGCTGTGACAAAAACCTAAAAGGGTGAAGCAAACACAATCTGACAAAGGCGTTGAGAAGGCCCGAAAGTATCTGAACACAAGGATGAGGTCTACTGGGGGGCAGCCCGCCAGGCTTTAAGGGTTGGCGAAAGTGCATAAAGTGAATACCCCATTAAGACCGGACCTCTCCTTGCCTGGTAGCCCTTTGTGCCATTCTGCCAGATTGGCACAGCGCAACCTTCCGGCGGGACAGAAAAAGACGACTAAAGGCCTTAGTAACAAAGAAGTGCTGCGAAGGAGGGTTGAAGTATTCCGGAAGTTTAAATTTTAAAAATTTCGATTGACGGGCAAGTATTTCTCAGAAATACAAAAAGACGGCCATTTTGACGAAAAAGAACGAAAAAACAGAACAACGACAAATATAGTGAAAAAAGGTTGTGCGGGAAAACGAGAAAAACGGAGCCTCTTATCGAGGCAATAAAACACGATAAGATCCTTAGCAGTGAAAACTATTAAAGGAAGCTTCAGTGGGAAAGGAATATTCCGCGGAACCCTCCCGTGCCACAAATTGGGAGAGATAAGAACGTTATCTCGAGAAGATTACGGGAGCGGAGGCTTGGTCCCCCAGAGATTATTATATGTTGAAGGAC